TAAGCTCATCATACAATTCTACTCTACAAGTCATTTCTATCCTCATGGAAGGATTGTATGGATGTCTGAAGGTACAAGGTACCAATCAACAGTTGCTGAGTGGGCCAAGCTGATTAATTCCCCTACAGAGCATGAGGATGACATATATGTCTATGCCAAGAGAAAGAAATATCACAACTCCATGGCCAACATGTATAAGGAGATTCCTGACAAAGACTTGGAGACTCACAAGATGGGCTCTGTGTATTATCTATTGTCTAGACTGGCCACTATTAACACCATCTTGAGGCACACCTTGTTGCCCAAATCAGGAGATCACAGGATGATCAGAGGCCACTCCATCAATTTGCTGCAATTGTTTGATGTGCCCTAGAAGTTCAAAGTAATGAGTTTGATTGTTGATACAATCAAGAGAACAACCGCTGACCAAAAGAGATCATGTGCATATGCTCCACACATCCAGATGCTCATCAACTCCAAGATGGACACAGACACATACTTGTTGGACAAGGAACATCTTCCCTTAAGGCCTGACTTTGAGGAAAACACATTTGTCATGAATACTGATCGTCCCACATGTGTGGAGGATCAAGAGAAGAGGGAGAAAGCAAAAGATGAGAAGGCAGCAAAGATGCCAAGTGTTGAAGAGGCTTCACAAGTTTTCCTAAAGTCTAAGCAAGATCAACTTGGATATCTTATTCAAGCAATTTTGAGGGTTGAGAAAGGACTAGCCACCCTGACTCAGAATTAAGAGAGCCTAGAGAGGATCATTGAGAAAAAGTTCTATGATCTTGACTTGAAGGTGAAAGAGATGCAGACAACTGTTGATCAGCTCCAGGAAGAAGTTGAAGAGAGGAAAGGGAAAGCTACTACAGATGCCTTTCAGAGAGTGCCTTGGGCATAGAGGTCTGCAGCAGTGCCTGTGACAGACACAAGAGCTACTACGTCAGCACCTGCATCCACAACATCAGTAGCTCCTCCAGTTGCAACTCCTCCAGCTCCAACAACTTCCATAGATGCATTCGTCCTTGGAGTCCTCTCAACGCTTCCTCCCGAAGATCAAGCCTAGAGAGACGCATAGAACTATGCATTTTTGAGCTTTTTGGTAACTTGTTGCCAAAGGGGGAGAGAGTGTATAGATCATAGGCTTCGATAGAGAGATTTGCTTCTTATTTGCTAATTATTTGATACTTATTTGTGTGCTTACATGGATGATACTCTATGTTTATGTGTGTGAGATACTTGTATGGTCATGTGTTTGATCATGTCACTTTAATGCTTGTGCTTGAATGATGACATTATTTATCTCTCATACATGATCATTCACTTTGCTTTGGTGATGAGTGTATATTTCATATTCTATCATTTTGAGCGCCCACCAAGATGTATGTGACATGGAAGAGTAGCTCATGATCCTAATCGATTGTGCATTTCATTCAAAAGAAAATTTTAAATACTGCACAAATTTAGGGGGAGCTCTTGTTTATCACATACTTCTCAAAGCGACAATATATTTCACTCTTTTTACCTTTTGTCGAAGATTTGATCTATATGTTGTCATCAATTACCAAAAAGGGAGATTCAAAGTGCAACTAATCCCTGGGTGGTTTTGGTAATTCTTAATAAGATATAGCTCATTGAACTAATACTCTTTCAAGATGATCATTTCATAAAGTTCAATGATTGGCATGGCATGGACTAGAGATGTGGCCTCTCAAAATGCTAAGGACATATATTGGCTCAAGCTCAAGACTCTATCTTTTCATTTTAGTGATCCAAGATCACATTGAGTCCATAGGAAAAGCCAGTGCTATTAAAAGGGGATGAGGTGTTGCTTAATGGCTTGCTTGCTCAAAATTCTTAGTGATATGCTCCAAAAGCCCTCAACCACTTTCTCATATCCACATATGTCCCAAACTAAAAGTCAAACTCGGCCCCACTGATTTGATCTATCCGGCGTCACCGAGTTCATTTGACATAGCCATAGCCAATAACCCTAATCAGTTCGGTCTCACCGATAGGGATCTCGGTCTCACCGAGATGGGATTGCAAACTCTCTGTTTCCTTTTCGTAACATTTCTGTCTCACAGAAATGAGCGATCGGTCCCATCGAGTTTGCCTGACCAACTCTCTGTTTGCCTATTACAGATATTGGTCTCATCGAGATTACATTATGCCCTAACCCTAATGAAATCAGTCCCACCGAGTTGACATGTTGGTCCCACCAAAAATCCTAACGTTCACTGAACTAAATCGGTCTGACCGAGTTTAGCTATTTGGTCCCACCGAGTTCGGTAAATTGTGTGTAATAGTTAGATTTTTTGTGGAGGCTATATATACCCCTCCACCCATTCTCCATTCGTGGAGAGAGCTATCAAAACATGCTTACACTTCCACCATTCATTTTTTGAGAGAGAACCACCTACTCATGTGTTGAGACCAAGATATTCCAATCCAACCACAAGAATCTTGATATCTAGCCTTCCCCAAGTTGCTTTCCACTCAAATCATCTTTTCAAAAAATCCAAATCTGTGAGAGAGAGTTGAGTGTTGGGAGACTATCATTTGAAGCACAAGAGCAAGGAGTTCATCATGAACACACCATATATTACCTTTTGGAGAGTGGTGTCTCCTAGATTGGTTAGGTGTCACTTGGGAGCCTCCAACAAGATTGTGGAGTTGAACCAAGGAGTTTGGAAGGACAAGGAGATCGCCTACTTCATGAAGATCTACCCAAGTGAGGCAAGTCCTTCATGGGCGATGGCCATGGTGGGATAGACAAGGTTGCTTCTTCATGGACCCTTCATGGGAGGAGCCCTCCATGGACTCACGCAACCGTTACCCTTCGTGGGTTGAAGTCTCCATCAACGTGGATGTACGAGAGCACCATCTATCGGAACCACGCCAAAAATCTCGGTGTCTACATTGTGTTTGCTCCCTCCAAACTCCTCCCCTTTACCTTCATATGCAATGATTTACATTCCGCTGCTATATTCTTAAATTTGCATGTGTAGGTTGATTGCTTGACTTGTGATAAGTTGCTAAAATCTGCTAAGACTTAAAATTGGGAAAATGATAGATTTTTATTTGGTCAAGTTGTCTAATCACCCCCCCTCTAGACATAATTTCGATCCTACAGAGGGTGAACAGGATTCCCATTACAGCCTAGGAGGTGCTTTCCCAGGCTTCACCCAGG